CTGTATTTCACTGATTTTAACCAGGGGGCTTTGTGAAGTGAGATATTTAATATGTTGGCTGTTACTGTTTTATGTTCTTGTTTTTGCAATTTTTGTCTTGTATGTGTCTGCATCTTTGAGTGCTTTGTAAGCTGCCCTGAGTCCCTCAGGTGGCGGGGTATAAATAAAGTTTATTTAATTTTTGAGTAACAGAGCTCGGAAATCTGGTTGGTGAAATAAACATTTGCCACAAAATGAACTTTTGACAAAAATTTCCTTTAGAGCAGTGCTACTGAAAGTGGTGGTGTAACGGATTGACTTATCTTAAAAGGTTGGTGTAAAATGCAGAAACCAGGCCCAGCTTGCTAAAGCTAAGGGGAGCCGAGGGGAGGAGCAAACAGACAGCCTAATGGCTAGGAGTGCAGTCTGATTGGCTGATGAAACTGGAGGGGAAAGCTCAGCCACTGGAGATGGGCGGAGCCAGAAGGAGAGAAGAAGCTGCGGCGGACATTTTTAGAGGAGTTAGGAGTTTGGTGGGGAAGAAGATAGAAGTTTTGAGGGGGGAAGGAAGGAAGAGTTTGGGAACTGTTTATGGTTTTAATATATCTCTTTGAGGATAATAGTTAATAGGCCTCTATAGTGATTAGAGTTCTGTGGGAGGAGGGGAGATTCAAAAGGTTTTAAAAGATCCTGTTTGGATTTTCTGTGTGTGGAACTTTGTTTTAAGAAACTCAAGATATAAGTACCATCCTCTGTAAGAAGTAAAGCCTGACAAGATATTTGAAACCATTACCCATATTGACTGTTCACAATAAATAATATAATCTTGTTTAATCTCAACTGAAGAATTAGAGTGGCTTTTTAAACATTCCAGTGAATGAGGTAGCCTATTAAAACAATAAACTGGTGGCAGCAATATAAACATTTAATAAGTAATAGGAGGCAGCAAAGGCAAAATATAAAAAAACAGTGGTGGCTTCCCACTGTCTGACCTTGTGTGTGTGAGGGTGTGTGTGCTCTGATTCCCTCATGGCCTTGCCTTGGGCCAGACCTTGTCGTTTGTCCTTTGTCCTCCATTTTCTGTGTGGTTATTACAATAGGTGGCAGTGGTGGCTGACCTGCTGTTGTCGTCCTTTTTGTTGCAGGTGGTCTGTGATGACCCGTACCACAGACAAGTGTCCAGGAAAGAAACTATTGTTGCCATGAGGCAGTCTGGTGAGGAAATGCTTGCCTGCCACATCCATTAGCATGAAGAGTACTAATTTTAACTCACTATAGATTCAGCTATTACAGAGAGTTCCACCAGCTTCCTAAACAAGTGTTTTAGCATACCCAGCTGGCAGTGTAAATCTAAATAAGTTATAAAATAATTGAATGCGATTCTGCATCTTTGAGAGCCAGTGTGGTATAGTGGTTTGAGTATTGGTCTATAACTCCTCAGTGATGGAAACCCATTAGGTGACCTTGGGCAAGACATGCTCTCAGTCTCAGAAGAAGGCAAAGGTGACACTATCTGAACAAAGGTAACACCATTTGAACAAATTGATGCAGATCTGTGATAGAATCTGAATAAATTGGGAACAACTTGAAGGCACGCAACTACAACAATAGCTTGCATTACTTTCTGACATACATTCTTCCTCTGCTTCAGAGATACTGAATAAGAACTTCAGATAATCAGAAGTGGAAAGTTCTGCCCAAAGGAGCTGAAGATGCTCTGAAATAGCAAAGCAGCTCACAGTTACAGGATATAGTGGCACATGTGGTTGGATGTGCCTAGAACATCATACTAGAGAAAATATCAAGGGGGATTTCCTCTGGGTTGCTGACAGTTTGTTGCTGGCACCTTAAACAGCTTTTCCCAGTGGACCAGAGTGAGCTTCGGTCCAAATTATCTGGAAGGAACCAGGTTGAGGAAAGCTACTTTAAATTATGCCTGGATTAAGCCTAAAATTTGGAGATCTTACATTTTAGACTGCATACTTTCTTAGCCAGCATGGTACCCAAAATAGTAGGGGATTCTGAGAGCTGAAATGCAAAATTGACACTTCCAGGTTCTAATGCTAATGCATAACTAGGTTGTAGTGTGCTGTACTGCTGGTCAAAAGCAAGCAGCATTACCACAGTCCAAGCATATGGTAAAATACTGTTTCATCTAAAGGTATTGCAGTTTTAAAAACATGAAGATACTAAGCATTTAGAACAGAGCAGTTGTGATCTGAAGAGATCCATAGATTCTCTGCTCTTCAGGTTTGCAATTGTTGGTCATTCCTCTACAACATTGACACGAGTATTATTTGATTGCTGAATAAAGTAAAAACCTGGACTGTTTATTAATAAATAATTGATAATAAATACAGAGATGAAGTGTAAGGAAAATTTAAAACTAGTGATCAGGTGCCAGCCTATTAACCTTTGACTACAATTAGCCATTTTCTAAAATGCAAGTGAAATTAAAATCTCTGGGAGCTTGAATCCATTTCCTTCCTAATTCTAATTCTAAATATAAATGCAATAAGACAGAAGTTGCTGATTTCATCAAACTCTGATTTGCATTGCTTTTCTGTCTAGATATCCTTCCCTCAGGATTTTTGCTCCAAAAATCTTTGCTGTTGTTCTTTTTCTTCAAGCTGAGTCTGATGTGGGGGTGGAGGGGTGGCAAGATTTATTCAGCAGAAGTTTGCCTTCCAGTTAAAAGAGAGCATGTTGCCCACGGTCACCCAGTGGGTTTTCATGGCTGAATACAATTCAAAGCATTGGTCTCCAGGAGTCCTGGCCCAATACTCAAACCACTATACCATGATGGTTCTCCCCCAAAATGTAGTTGTTCCCGCCTCTCAGAAAGGGAATACTAAGAGGTGAGTGTGAGGGAACAATGTTTTATTAGGCTGGCTCTGTATTGTTTAATTAATGCAGTTTGACACAAATTTAAATGCTATTGCAAAATACTATGGCATTGTAGTTTGATAAGGCATTAGCACTCTTTGACAGAAGTCACTAAAGACCTTATAAAATGACACCTCTCATGATTCCATAGTATATAGAGTTAAAGTGGTGGCAAACCGCATTCTTTCTACACTGTAGATGCACACAAAGAGATTTCCACCACCCCTTCATTTTTAAAAGTCTTCCTAAAGGTTCTCATTCTTCTGATGATTGTGTAAAGAAATTGAGCCCTCAAAGAGAAAAAAAAACTCTCTGGAAGCATAACATAAAACTCAAGGAAGTCTGAAATTTATTTATTTTTTGTCAAAAGCATCACATAAATTAATATAAAACTAATAAAAATAGGAGCACAAATGGTTAAATATTTTTTGACCAAAAACTAGCAATAGCGACTGCATTGTCTGTAGCTTTAAACAATTCTTCCTCTATACATGAGGCAGGACATTGTGGACAAGCATACAGGTACGGAGTTGTTTGTTCTGCTCCACAGGCGCACACAGTGGAAGGTTCTTCTAGATAGTGCCATTTTAACATGTTGTCTTTTGATCTGCCCACTCAACTTCTCGGTCTGTTCAGGGACTTCCACATTGCTCATTCTTGGTTTGCCACTGGGGGCAGTCCCTCATGGGGGGGGGGCATCCAGTTGGGATTTCCTGGTTTAGCTGCCCAGAGGGATGCTCTTGCTGTTGCTGGGAGAACATTAAGAGGTGTAGTGGTTCTCATGAAGCTTTTCCTTGATTTGAGTCTACTGGGAAGAGGCTGATAGCCATACAGTGAATGGCTTTCACAGTGTTCAACCTTATTTCTCTTACAGTTAGCAGCAACTTCCCATCGCACACTGGGGTGGGGTGGGGGTGGGGGGAAACAATGCCAGTCTTAAGTGAAGGCCAAGAAACCAACATTGATTTGACCAAAGAGCCCTTTCTCCTGTTGAGAAGCAATAGTCATTAACAAGAGAGTGCCACTATGTCCAGCTTGTCTATATTTTATAGACCTGTAACCTGCAGAGTGTGAGGAGAGCTGTCAGATGCAAATATCTTCCCCCTCTCAAATTCCCATTTTATTATTTACTAGCTTGGGTACCCGGCGATGCCTGGGTTATTTGAAAAGGGTATTGTTTGTTTTTGGATGTTAGGTAATATCAGTTTGGTGATATATTACGCTGTGTGTTAAAAAAAAGTCTTTGCTATTGTTTTTGTTTTTTGTGAATGCTCCCATTTTGTTTTTTATGTAAACTCCATCATATTGCTCGGGTACCTGATGTTGCTTAGGTTAATTTGGTAAGGATAAACATTAGAAATAGTCATTGTTAGATTTTGGATTTTAAGTATAGACCTATTAGAAAATTCATAACCGTATAAATAGGGCCATTTATAAATTTGTACAGCTGATATGGTAGAACTTCCATCAGTGCAAGACTAACCTACTTATCTACTTACCAAGTAATGCATTTTCTACTGGTATGTATTAGATTTTTTCCATATACAGCTGTAGAAATTAGTCAATCAGAGAGGTGAAAAAAACATTTTATTGTTTATACTTTCTTTTAATATTATAATATTAATAAATATTTATATATATCTCGCTTTTCCCCCTCACGGGACCCAAAACAGCTTACAACATATTAAATTCATGTAAACAACAATTCAAACACATCAATAGTAAGTATAAAACATTATAAAATAAACAGTTTAAATATAACAATAATATACATTCATATTCTTGTGGCATCATGTCAGCTCATATTGCACTTTGTTCCAGTCCGTAAGGACGAAACCAGTATCTTGAATTGGGCTCAGAAACAAATTGGCAGCCAGTACAGGTGCTGTAGCAGGAGGGATGGACCACTCCCTGGTTCCAGCACCTGGAGGCAGCTCTTTGGGCTAATTGAAGTTTCCAGACACTTTTCAGAGGCAGCCCATTGCAGTAATCTAAGTGGGATGTAACCAAGGTATGGTCCATCAGGGCCAAGCCTGGCTTCTCAAGGTACAGGTGCAGTTGGTGCTCAAGTAATATTGTAATTTCTTGTTGTTATTGAAAAGTACAAGAACAATAAAAATACATTTTTTAAAAATATCAACATGGCAGAATAGTGAGTTCATTGTAAAGCCTGTTTATAAACAACATTTTTGGTTTTTCCACCTGGAGCATAAACAAACAAATTATTTGGGGAACCTACTCTTGAACATGCGACATATAACTGTCCATGGGAAAAACACGGTGACTTTAAGTTAATACCACAGTATTTTATTGACTGGCCCTGTGCCTTGTTGACGGTTATCCCGAATGCCAGTCTTACTGGGAACTGCAATCCCTTAAAATGAAATGGCAAATCTGATGGAATTAGTGGAATGCGAGGGATGAATATATCATCACCCTTCCCCTTCCCAGTCAATATTGTAGCTTCTATGACATTGGGCAGCAATGTTTTGATGCACACTCTTGTGCCATTACATAACCTTGGTGGTTCGAGATTTCTAAGCAACATAATGGGGGATCCCACTTTAAGTGGCAGGCGATAAGATGGCATCCCAGGTAGATCAAGGGAGTTGAGGAACTCAGTTGGATAATTTATAGCTTCATCAGCATCCACTACTGTATCGATGGATTTATATTCTGTTACGGAGCCTGGAATCATGTCTTGAACATGCTTGTTGATTTCATTGACTGCATCGTTCTTAGCAGCGAGGATGGCTCTTTCACACAACCAGGTGTGTTGTTTAAAATTTTCTGAAATGTTTGGATAGACTTTATTTATAAGTTCACCAACTGATGTCACAATGGTACAGAAGTCATTTGGAAAGTGGCTTTCGCATAATGTCAAGACAGTGGGGAAAGTACCTTCACCAATTTGAAGGAGCTTCTCTGCAAAAGGTTGAGCATTTGGATCTCCTTGAAGTTGGACCCTCAGATTTGTTTGTAATGTCATTTTTTTCACATGTCTCCAAAAAATGGAAGCCTTCAGGCAAGCATTAAGCTCATCTGCTGGCGTTGACTTTGGAGTGATGGGAAGAGTTTGACGAAAGTCTCCAGCAAAAACTACCAGAGCTCCTCCCATCAGTTCATTATTTCCTCTTAGATCTTGTAAAGTTCTGTCAAGGGCTTCAAGTGATTTCTTATGTGCCATAGTACATTCATCCCACACTATGACTTTGCACATTTTTAACACTTGTGCCTGCCCAGATGTTTTGCTGATATTACAGGTTGGATGCTGTTCGTTGGCAATGTTTAGTGGCAATTTTAATGCTGCGTGTGCTGTTCGTCCTCCATCCATCAGTGTTGATGCAATCCCAGAAGAAGTAAGTGCAAGTGCCACATCATTACTTGCACGAATTTCAGCAAGTAGTAAATTAATTAAAAATGTTTTTCCTGTTCCTCCAGGTGCATCAAGGAAAAGTATATCACCTTTTCGGCTTCTGATGTTATCCATTATGGTGTCATATACTTTTCTTTGATCATGATTTCATAGAGGTTTTCTTGATTGTACAAATATTAGTAGTTCTTCAGTATTATAATTCTTTTCTCTCATAAGTTCATTGTTGAAGACCTCATAGTTATTTCGTTCTGGAGGCTGTTCACCTAATTGTTGTAATGTTTTGTTACTGATGGCCAGACATCTGTTTTCTAATAGTATAAGTGCCTCATTAAAAATTTCTCTAGAAAATTTTAAGTCAATGGTGGGATTGTCTCTTTGAAGTTTTGCAAGTATGTCTTCACTCATGCTTTCTTGGTGTTTCTCCCATAATCCATTAGGGTTTGATGGATAGCAAGTTGTCAGGATGATGGCAAAAGGGTTTCTTATTTGAGCTGGTGAAGATTGCAAAGCTGCTTCTGATAAAGTAAAATTCCAATGTTGATCATCCTGTAATAATCCAAGCTTTTGGCATGCCTCTCTAAAAGTATTACACACCTCTCCATTGACAGTTTTTTAAAATGTGAAAGACGTTGGTCCCCAAACAGTGTGAAGTAGTATTCTTAAAAAAAGCATTCAGCATTGTTAGGATGAACGGTGTACACACGACCCAAGGCTTCGGTAACAACAGCATCCTGTCCTGAAACTGATGCTCCTTGTTTTCTTTTGGAGAAGACTTTCCTGGATGCATTCCATGTGTAATATGTTGGAACTTCGGGATATAGCAGTGTCCTTGCAAACAAATCCTGTTCACACAGCTGAAAGAATGCTGTCAAGGTTGTATTTGGTGGTTCAGCAGCAACTGTTTCAGCATTATCTGTTATAAAGTAGACTCTTTGACTATTTTCTAAATGTACACTAAGGTGAACAACAATTGGATGGCGTTCATGGATCGGAAAACTGAAAATCCGCCAAACTGCTTCGTTACTGCTGATATATCTTCCCAGCTGGTATTGAGATCCTTCATCGTTTCTGTTTTCGTTAGTGAGTCCAAAAACCGCCATGTCACTTCCCCTGTTCACATACTTACAGATGTACTTAATGGATTTTATTGAGTTACAGTATTCAACATTAATGTGTGCTTGAAACATTTTAGAAAGGAGTGGAGAATATGGAACAACCCATCTGTTGTCCACTTCTACTTCTGTGTTGCCTCTAATCTTGAGCTTTGCTGTGAAGCCACCATCTGATGGTGCTCGTCTTCTATAGAGAGGATAACCGTCATGTCCAGTTTGTGTGTCTGTAACCAATTGTCTGGGATATTTCTTACTGCACTTGCCTTCCTTCATACATGGTGCGTTTATATTAAGGTTTCCACACGGTCCGTGAATCATATTTTTGGTCACCACTGCATAGAGGGTAGAGTCTTCAAATGGATTTGGGAATTCAGCAGATATAACATTGTCTATTTCAGTTGGATGAACTTTTTCTTTCAGCCAAATTAGATTATGGGAATGTGGAAGTCCTCATTTCTGCCATTCGATCGAGTACAGCCAACATCGTGTTTCTCCAAATACATGGCTCTTATTTATTACATGGATTAACTTCATTTGTTTTTGTTTGAACACTCTTGCTATTAAATAATGACGATCACTGGGTGTCTGTACGAATAAAAGTTCTTCTTTTTTCTCTGGCCAGGATGGATTACACATGAAAGTAATAAATAAGTCAGGGCGTCCATAAGATCTCACGTATGTCATGCCATGTTGAGCATATTCGTGCATGTGTCTTGGGCTTCCTGTGAATGTAGCAGGTAGAATTACCATTTTCCCAATGTTATCAACACTTGTATCATTGGAGACAGCATCCCTTAGGTGGATGTATTCATCCACTCGAAGTTTCTTTTGATTTTGGCGTATGAAGAGAAGACGCTCAGTTTCAATTTTTGCATACATATCAACAATAAATTGATGAAATAGCTACCGATAATTTAAAATATGATTAGAAACATGATTTCTAATCATTATTCTGTATCCATAGTAGTCCATTGCTGAGACTTTTTTATTAGTTGGTGCACCTGAAGTTGGGTTGATTTGCATGATGTTGAAGTGATACCCATCTTCACCTTGCCAAAATATCAGTGGGTATTGAAGTGCATCATACCATCGATGCGTTTCTGCTATGTGCTGTAGTGAATTACTGCACCTTTGGATTATGATGTCACGTTGCTCAAATTCCTCACCTGAAATAACAATCGCAACTTCGTTTGTGGAGCATTGAAGTGACGTTCATGTTCTCCCACTGGCTTTTTATCATCTGTAATCACTACTCTGTATTCATCCGTTTTCCCCTGAATTCTTGAAGTCGGGCATTGTGCTGTTCTGGAGTCTCTGCTGCTCTTGATGTAGGGACTCTTTCTTTCATTGCTCCAAGTCGGGCATTGTGCTGTTCTGGAGTCTCTGCTGCTCTTGATGTAGGGACTCTTTCTTTCATTGCTCCAAGTCGGGCCTGACGCTGTTCTGGAGTCTCTGCTGCTCTGGACGCCCTGGCCTTTTCTTGCTTTTGTTGAAGCCTGGCCTGACACTGTTCTGGAGTCTCTGCTGCTCTTGGCATAGAGGCTCTTTCTTGCATTGCTCCAAGTCTGGCCTGACGTTTTTCTGGAGTTTCTGCTGCTCTGGAGGCCCTGGCCTTTTCTTGCTTTTGTTGAAGCCTGGCCTGTAGCTGTTCTGGAGTCTTTGCTGGTCTTGACTTAGTGGCTCTTTCTTGAATTTCTCCTAGTCTGGCCTGACGCAGTTCTGGAGTCTCTGCAATCCTTGATGTTTCCTGGTTATTATCAAGTGAGCAATCAGTTGACTCACATGCTTGCTGGAATTTTCCCTTTTTTGCTTTGGGTGGGATTTTTCCTTCAGTAGTTTTCCTTTTTTGAGACATTTTGAAGCAGCCTCGCCTGATAAAAGAAACAATAAAAAGAACAGTGTAAAACAGAAAGGAGTAAGATTTTTTGAATTTGGGGTTCAGGGAATACCTTATTACAATACACATTACTGAAAATGTCGACAATAATTATTGTCGTTGTTGTTTTTTTTGAATAAAGCAGTACTTTACCTTGGATCCTGGCTAAAACATCTCTTTTTGGAACTATGTTGCAGCAGGAAGAGGATGAGCAATTATGCTGTGTAACTGGTCCAAGTCAGCTTACAAGGCCAGAAAGGATAAAGCAGAAGGGTCAATAGGGGCCAGGTGGGGGCAGGAGGTAGAATTTTTTATCAGTAGACACAGTATGCCTGTACATATGCACACACACACACACAGACAGACATTCAAAGGAAGTATCTGTCATATAGGCACCATCTCTTGGACATTTCCATATATGTGTGTATATTCATTAATTTTTTTTGTTTTTCTCTTGCTGTCAGACATACTTTCTGTTTTATATTTTTAATGAAAAGACATGGAAAGGACTCGAAGTGGGATGAATAGTCTGTCAAACCCCAATTTGTTGTTAAAAAGGAAACATTAAGAAGATCATAATTATTTTCCTTTTTGTTTTTTGAATGAAATAGGACCTTACCTTGTATAGGTACTGTTTCCAAATGCTGTTTCCAAATTTTCCTGGAAGAAGCTGTCTTCTTTGAAACAATGTTGAACTTGAAAGATGGCTGCCTCTTTTGGCGGATAGAAAGGTGGAGCCAGCCTGGAAATCCTGCAAGGTTTTAGCAGAAGGGTCAAAGGAAGCAGGACAGGAGGTTTGGGGGCTAGAAGTATTCATAAGCATGAAAAGGAATCAATAAAAAGATAATAATTTGCTGTATTTGGTATAAAGTAGGGCCTTACCTTGTGTAACTGCTGGACACTGCTGTTTCCAAATTATCCTGGAAGAAGCTGTCTTATATGGAACAATGTTGAACTGAGAAGATGGCTGCCTCTTTTGGGGCCTAGCAGGGTAAAGCCAGCCTGGAAGTCTTGCAAGGATTTAGCAGAAGGGTCAAAGGAAGCAGGATAGGAGGTTTGGGGGTAGAAGTATCCATAAGCACGAAAAGGAATCATTAAAAAGATAATAATAATTTTCTCTGCTGTATTTGGTATAAAGTAGGGCCTTACCTTGTATAGGGACACTGCTGTTTCCAAATTATCCTGGAAGAAGCTGTCTTATATGGAACAATGTTGAACTGGGAAGATGGCTGCCTCTTTTGGGACCTAGCAGGGCAGAGCCAGCCTGGAAGTCCTGCAAGGATTTAGCAGAAGGGTCAAAGGAGGCAGGGATAGGAGATTTGAGGGCTAGAAGTATTCATAAGCATAAAAGACCTCATTAAAAGTATAAAAATTGCTTTCTCTGCTGTCATTGGAATAATGTAGTGCCTTACCTTGTAGAAGTACAATGCTTTTTCAGATCACCCAGTCAATGTAGAACAGGAAATGGCTACCTCTTTTGGGGCCTAGCTGGGAGAAAGCAACCTAGAAGCCCTGCAAGGATTTAGTAGAAGGGTCAAAGAAGGCCAGGGTAAGGGGGTTTTGGGGACCAGAAATGTTCATAAGCATAAAAAGGCATCATTAAAAAAAATGTTTTTCTCTGCTTGTATTGGAATAATGTAATGCTTTGCCTTGTAGAAGGAGAATGTTTTTTCAAACCACCCAGTCAAAAGCTGCCTTCTTTGACACAATGTAGAAGAGGGAAGATGGGTGCCTCTGAGTCTTTAGTCCTGCCGGCACAGGGGTTTTACCCTCTGTGCCACCAGGGGCTCCTGTTGATGCTGGCCAATCAGAAACCATATGCAAATTTCCTTTCCCCTCTCAGTCAATTGAGGATCTTGGAATGTTTTGGCTGGCCAATCAGAGACCAAATGCAAATAGTACCACGGTGGCAGCCAATCAGAAAGCTGGCACATACACTTCCTCCACATACATATTCCTCCACATACACGCATACAAACACTCTTTTATTATATACTAGCTTGGGGATCTGGCGCTGCCCGGGTTATTTGAGAAAGGAATTGTGTGGCAAAGATGTTCTTTATCAGTTTTCAGTTAGTGAAGGTACTGCAAATGCCATTGTGCATGGTCCATCCTCCTCCAAACAGCACCAGGATGTAGAGTGGGTCATGGGGTCTCTGTGTGCCAAGTTTGGTCTTGATCAGTCATTGGATGAGGTTTGCAGTGGTCTCAGAAAGTGAATTAAGGTACTGCAAGTCCCATCATCCATAGTCTGTTCTTCTCCAAACCTCACCATAATGTTGAGTTGACAATGGGAGCTCTCTATGCCAAGTTTGGTCTTTATTGGTATTTGGATGAGTGTCGCTGTGGTTTCAGGAAGTGAATGAAGGTACTGCAAGTCCCATCATCATCGTCCATCCTCCTCCAAACAGCACTGGGATGTAGAGTGGTTCATGGGGGCTCTGTGTGCCAAGTTTGGTCTTGATTGGTCATTAGTGAGGGTTGCAGTAGTCTTGGGAAGGGAGTGGAGGTACTTGAAATCCCATCAACCATGGTCTGTCCTCCTCGAAAGTTCACCAGGATGTAGAATGGGTCATGGGGACTCTGTGTGCCAAGTTTGGTCTTGATTGGTCATTAGATGAGGGTTGCAGCAGTCTTGAGAAGGGAGTGGAGGTGCTTGAAGTCCCATCATCCATCTCCAAATTTTTCCAAACCGCACAAGGATGTAAGGTGGGTCATGGGGACTCTGTGTGCCAAGTTTGGTCTTGATCAGTCATTGACGAGGGTCTCAGTGGTCTCAGGAAGTGAGTGAATTACTGCAAGTGCCATCATCCATTGCCAAATTCTTCCAAACCGCACCAGGATGTAGAGTGGATCATGCGGGCTCTCTGTGTGAATTGTGGTCCTGATCCATCATTGTTGGCAGTTGTAATGGTCTTAGGAACGGAGTGCAGGTATTGCAAATCCCATCGTCCATGGTGCATCCTCCTTCAAAATGCAACAGGATGTAGAGTGCATCATGGAGACTCAGTGTGCCAAGTTTGGTCTTTATTGATAATTGGATGAGGGTTGCAGTGGTCCCAAGAACTGAGCAAAGGTACTGCAAGTCCCATAATCCATGGTCCATCCCCGGCCAAACCACACCAGGATGTAAAGTGGGTCATGAGAGGTCTATGTGCCAAGTTTGGTCCTGATCAGTCATTGGATGAGGTTAACAGCGGTCTCAGAATGTGAGTGATGGCACTGCAAGTCCCATCATCCATGGTTCATCCTCCTCCAAACTGCAGTAGGATGTCAAGTGGGTCATGGGGGCTTTGTGTGACAAGTTTGGTCTGTATTGTTAATATCAGCTTCTCTCTTTACTGTGCCAATTGATGTCCCCTCACCCATTTGGTGACTTCTAGGTGAGTGTTTGTTGTACACTGACCCCCACCCTTAAGTGGTGCCATGCATATACCTCCATGTCTGTGTTTTCCTGATCTATTTATGCCACAGATTGGGGGCAAATGTCTATTTCGCCCCCATCCCCCACCAAGCCCCTCAAAACTTCCTGAATGCCCAACTGTAAATCAGCCAAAAATTGTGCGTTACCCAAATCTGTTAGGTGTACACCATCGTAACGGTAAAACTGTGTTTTGTCGTGGGTGATATCTCTATGGTGTATGTAAGATCCTCTGCCCCGTGCTAAAGCCGTGCGCATGGCCCGGTTCACACGCTTTCTGGCCTTCTCGAGTTTCCTGACGTCACCGCCCCCTGGCCACCGAAGGCGTGGAATGATGGCCGACCAAGCGATGTGAACCCGTGGCCATGCCTGCCAGATCTTCAGAATGTCAGCACGGGCTTGTAGAAAAGGGCCCTGCCGTTAAGCAGGCCAAGATCATTACCTCCGACATGGAGCACCAAAACGTCAGGAGGGGGCCTGCTCCTGTCCTGGAACAACAAGGGAACCAAACCGTCCCAACGAAGGCCCCGAACACCCTTCCACTCGACCAATGCAGTGGAAGCGCAACCCAGATGCTGGCCAAAGGACGAGTTCCTGGCGTATCTCTCCGCCCAGTGGACATAACTATGCCCACAAACAAGGATTCTCCATCTATGCACCAGCCTGGCAGTCTCTGAAAGATAAACAACAAACACAAACAAGTACCGAGCGAACATATCGCCTGTAAGCGCCCGATTTCCACCTGCCAAGTGATTTAATGGACTCCTCAGTGTAACCCAAGTGTGCTGCCGAAGATGCCGCCCCTATTCGAAAAGAGTGAGTGCCAAATTTGTGAGAACCCAACCCCAGCATCTTCAGCGCCCTATCTGTGATGGCCCAAAACTGATATTTTGTGAGGGGGGTGGAATCCTGATGGCAGAACAAATATCCCCCCGACTGAGCCCTAACTTGAATGAACTGTGCCATAGCCGAAACAGGGCAGAGCTCGGGGTCGCTGCATCTGGCTAATGTAACCACAGCGCCCCTGGCTTGCTGGTCCGTCTTGGACGAACGTACTAAAATTTGGAGG